AAATATATTTTTTTATACTATAAATGTATTATACATATTTCTATATATAATATAAATATATTTTGATATACTATAAATGTATTATACATATTTCTATATATAATATAAATATATTTTGATATACTATAACTGTATTATACATATTTCTACATATAACATACATATAATTTTCTCTCTCTCTCTCAAATATATACCTGTAACACCTCTGTGCCGTGCTCTGCCTCGCCCAGGGGAGACGTGGAACCCGTTCAAGCTGCAGTTCCAGCTGCGGAACGTGCGGGAGCGCCTGGCCAAGGCGCTGGTGGAGAAGGGCATCCTGTGCACGGCCCGGCAGAACTTCCTGCTCTTCGACCTCACCACGCACCCGGTGCTGGACGGCGCCGAGAAGCGGCGGCTGCAGCGGCGGCTGCAGGAGAGCGTCCTGGAGCGCCGGGCCCGCGACCCGCGGCGCCTGCAGCCGCGCACCCTCGCCCTGCTGGTGCTCGCCCACTCCTCGGACGTGCTGGACGGCGTCTTCGGCGGGCTGGCCCACGGCACGTACGAGCTGGCCATGGCCGGGGCCCGCGACCTGCTGCACCTCGACCCCGAGCTGGAGGCGGCCAAGGCCCGCGGCGGCTCCGAGATGATCTGGGCCGTGCTGGCGGCCTTCAACAAGGGCTGAGGGACCTGCTGGGGGGGACTGGGACACTGCTCCGGGGGGAGAGGGACCCTGGGGAGCACCCTGGGACACGGGCAGGGGCCTGGGGCCCTGAGGACATCCCCAGACTGCAGCGGGGACACCCTGAGAACCTCCCCAAAGTGCAGCGGGGTCACCCTGAGAACATCCCCAAAGTGCAGCGGGGACACCCTGAGAACATCCCCAGAGTGCAGCGGGGAGCCCCTGAAACCTCCCCAAATTGTACTGGGGAACCCCTGAGAACCTCCCCAAAGTGCAGCGGGGAGCCCCTGAAACCTCCCCAAATTGTACTGGGGAACCCCTGAGAACCTCCCCAAAGTGCAGCGGGGAGCCCTAAAAACCTCCCCAAATTGTACTGGGGAACCCCTGAAACCTCCCCAAATTGTACTGGGGAGCCCCTGAAACCTCCCCAAAGTGCAGCGGGGAGCCCCTGAAACCTCCCCAAATTGTACTGGGGAGCCCCTGAGAACCTCCCCAAAGTGCAGCGGGGAGCCCCTGAGAACCTCCCCAAATTGTACCGGGGAGCCCCTGAGAACCTCCCCAAACTGCTCCAGGGAGCCCCTGAAACCTCCCCAAACTGCTCCAGGGAGCCCCTGAAAACTGCCCCACACTGCTCTGGGGAGACTCAGACCCTGAGAACCTCCCCAAAGTGCAGCGGGGAGCCCTAAAAACCTCCCCAAATTGTACTGGGGAACCCCTGAGAACCTCCCCAAAGTGCAGCAGGGAGACCCTGAGAACCTCCCCAAACTGCTCTGGGGAGACTCAGCCCCTGAGAACACCCCAAAAAACATCCGGGAGGCCTAAAAACCTCCCCAGACTGCATTGAGGAGACTCAGCCCCTAAAAACATCCCCCAAAGTGCTCTGGGGAGATTCGGCCCCTAAACAAACCCCAAACTGCATCAGGGAGCCCCTGAAAACCTCCCCAAGCTGCTCCAGGGAGATTTGGCCCCTAAAAAACACCCTGGAAGACAGTGAGGAACCTCAGCCCCTGAAAACCCCCCAGACAAAATCTGGGAGCCCTAAAAGCCTCCCCAGACTGCATTGAGGAGCCTCAGCCCCTAAAAACACCCCAAAGTGCTCTGGGGAGACTCAGCCCCTGAGAACACCCCAAAAAACATCTGGGAGCCCTAAAAACCTCCCCAGACTGCATTGAGGAGCCTCAGCCCCTAAAAACACCCCCCAAACTGCTCTGGGGAGATTTGGCCCCTAAAAAAACCCCTAAAGACAGTGAGGAGCCTCAGCCCCTGAAAACACCCCCCAAAGTGCTCTGGGGAGACTCAGCCCCTAAAAAAACCCCTAAAGACAGTGAGGAGCCTCAGCCCCTGAAAACACCCCCCAAAGTGCTCTGGGGAGACTCAGCCCCTAAAAAAACAGCCTAAAAGACACCGAGGAGCCTCAGCTGCCCCAACCAACATCTGGGAGCCCCTACAAACCTCCCCAAACTGCTCTGGGGAGCCTCAGTCCCTAAAAACGCCCCCCAAAGCTGCCTCCTGGGGGGGGCTGAGGGCCGAGGAGGGGCTCAGGGGACCCTCCTGGGGTGAGGAGGGGGTTTAGGGACCCTCTTGGGGTGGCCTGAGGTTTGGGAGGGGGTTCAGGAGACCCTCCTGGGGTGGAAGAGGGGTCAGGGGACCCTCTTAGGGTGGGGAGGGGGTTAGGGGACCCTCAGGTGGAAAAGGAGTTTAGGGGACCCTCCTGGGGTGAGAAAAGGGTTCAGGAGACCCTCCTGGGGTGGGAAAGGGGCTTAGGGGACCCTCCTGAAGTGGAAGAGGGTTCAGGGCACCCTCCCAGGGTGGGAAGGGGGTTCAGGGGACCTTCCTGGGGTGGAAAAAGGGTTGGGAAGGGATTTAGGGGACCCTCCTGGAGTGAGAAGGGGATTTAGGGACCTTCTTGGGGTGGAAAAGGGGTTCAGGGGACCCTCCTGGGGTGGGAGGGGGCTCAGGGGACCCTCCTGGGGTGGGAGGGGGCTCAGGGGTGTCAGGCGGCTCCCCAGCCCGGGCCGTGCCCCCCCGGCTGTGCCGCTGCTCCCCCGTGCGGGGCCGAGTCCCCCCGGGGGGATTTTTGTCCAAGAATTCCCCTTTTCCCCCCGTTTTTTCTCCTCCTGTAGTTCCCGTAAAACACTCGTTTCTCTGCAGCCCCGCGGGGTCTGTCGGTGTTTCGGTGGCTCCGGCCGCCCCTTTTGGAGCAGGGGCGGCACCCCCGGGGGGGGTTGGCGGCACTCGTGTCACGAGTTGGGAGCGGTCTCAGCTGATGGGGTTGGGGGGGGTTTCTCTGCCTCCAGGCGCTCCTGCCCCGCGTGGACGAGGCCGGGGGTGCTCCGGGAGCCTTTGGCGGGCGGGATCTCCCCGGATTCCCCCCGGGTTTGGTGTCCTTGAGCCGCCCCCACACCCCCCGATCCCGGTTTTTCCCATCCCGGGTCTCGAACCCGCGGCCTCGCGAAGCCCCGGGCGGGGAAAACCCGCCCTCGCCCCGCCTACTCATTGATTTTCCCTTCCCATTGGTCACGGCCCCGTGTCAATCACGGCTGATGTGCGTAGTTCCGCCCTTGTCCCGCCTACTCATTGATTCTCCCCTCCCATTGGTCATGGCTCCCTTGTCAATCATGACTGATCTGCATAGCCCCGCCTCCATCCCGCCCACGCATTGATGCTTCCTTCCCATTGGTCAGGGGTCCCGTGTCAATCACGGGTGTTCTGCATAGCCCCGCCCCTTGCTCCGCCCCCCCGTGCCTTGCTGAGGGAACCTGCGGGGACCGGGAACGAGGGGAGGGGGTTTAACCCCCCAAAACCCCTTAAAACCCCTAAAAATACCCCGAAACCACCCCCAAAACCCCCCCATCCCACACCCACACAGAGCCCAGGGCAGGGGGAGGAGGAGGAAGAGGAGGAGGAAGAGGAGGAGAAGAGGAGACTTTATGGGATGCTCTGGTGACCAGGAACCAGGGAAGGGGGTTTAACCCCCCCTAAAACCCCTCAACCCCCCCAAAAAAAACCCCATCCCACACCCACACAAGGCCCAGGGCAGGGGGAGGAGGAGGAGGAAGAGCCTTTATGGGACACTCTGGTGCCAGGAACCAGGGAAGGGGGTAAAACAACCCCAAAAGGCCCTAAAAAACCCTAACCCCCCCAAAAAAAACATCCCCACCCCACACCCACACAGAGCCCAGGGCAGAGGGAGGAGGAGGAAGAGGAAGAAGAGGAAGAGGAGCCTTTCTGGGACACTGCGGTGACCAGGAAGCAGGGAAGGGGCTTTAAGCCCCCTAAAACCCCTAAAGCCCCCCAAGAACCCCCCCATCCCACACCCACGCAAAGCCCAGGGCAGGGGGTGAGGAAGAGAAGGAGGAAGAGCCTTTCTGGGACAATCTGGTGACGGGGAACCAGGGAAGGGGGTAAAACAACCCCAAAAGGCCCTAAAAGAACCCTAAAGCCCCCAAAAGCACCCCCATCCCACACCAAGCCCAGGGCAGGGGGAGGAGGAAGAGGAGGAGGAGGAGGAAGAGGAGGAAGGAGTTTTTTGGGGTGGTTGCCACTTCCCCTCCCCCGCCGTGTCCCCCCAGGGCCAAAGTGACGCCGCAATTCCTGGAAAAGCCGCGCGGGACTTTCCTGGGAATTTGGGGGCGGGGGACGGGGGGGGAAGGGGCAACTCCCCCCCCCCCCAAAATCAAGGTGTGACCCCCTGAGACCCCCAGGGCCGGGGGATGGGGGGTTGAAGCCCCTCTCCCCTTAGGGGGGTCCTGTCCCTGCCAACCCCCCCGGGATCTCCTCAGAGACCCCCAAAAACACCCCACAGATGACCTGGGGGGTCCCAAACACCCACCGGGACCCCCCGGAGACCCCAAAACTGGAGGATGGGGGGGAGATGAAGCCCCTCTCCCCAAAAAGCTTCTGTTCAAGGGGGTCCTGTCCCTGTCCAGCTCCCGGGATCTCCTCAGAGACCCCCAAACCCACCCCACGGATGATCTGGGGGGTCCCAAACACCCACCGGGACCCCCCTGGAGACCCCCAAAGCCGGGGGAGGGGGGGGTAAAGCTGCCCCCGAGCACCAACCCCCCCTTTCCCGGGGGTCTCAAAGCCCGGGGGGGGCTCAAAGATGCCCCAAATTCCAGAAACATCCCCCCTCCCCCCCAACACCCCCCCCCCGGCAGCTGCTTTAATTTTTAATCTTTAATCCTTAATCTTTCTCTTTAATCTTTAATCCTCCCCCGCGCCCTCCCCCTCGTCTTATTTACGCCAAAATTCGCAGAAGTCGCGGCGGTTTCGGCGAAAAAAGCCCCGAGGGGGGGAAGGGGAGGGGAGGGGAGGGAGGGAACGGAAACCTCGCGGCTGCGGCGGCGCTTCCAGGAAGGGCCGGCCCCCCAAAAACCCCAAAAACTGCACCCCGGGCTCGGGGAGACACCAAATCCACCCCAAAACTGCCCCAAAACTGCACCCCGGGCTCGGGGAGACACCGAATCCACCCCAAAACTGCACCCCGGGCTCGGGGAGACAGACCGAATCCACCCCAAAACTACCCCAAAAACTGCACCCCGGGCGCGGGAGAACACCGATCCACCCAAAAACTGGAAACTGCCCCAAAACTGGCACCCCGGGCTCTGGGAGACACCGATCCCCTACCCAAAAACTGCCCCCAAACTGCACCCCGGACTCGGGAGACACGAATCCACCAAAAACTAAACGGCCCCAAAACTGCACCCCGTGCCTCGGGACACCGGATCCACCCCAAAACTGCCCCAAAACTGCACCCCGGGCTCGGGGAGACACCGAATCCACCCCAAAACTGCACCCCGGGCTCGGGGAGACACCGAATCCACCCCAAAACTGCACCCCGGGCTCGGGGAGACACCGAATCCACCCCAAAAACTGCACCCTGATCTTTGGGAGACATCAGAACCCAAATCCACCCCAAAAGTGCACCCCAATGTCTGGGAGACACCAAAATCCCCCCCAAAACTGCACCCCGGGTTGGAGGAGACACCAGAACCTGAAACCCCAAAAATCAGCCCCCCCCCCAACCCTCTGGGAGTCCCCCGCACCCCAAAATCCACCCGCACCCCAAAATCCACCCGCACCCCAAAATCCTGGGAGTCAGCTGCTCCCAAACCCCAAAATCCACCAGCCCCCCAAACCCTAAAGATCAGCAGCCCCCCCCAACTCCTGGGGGCAACCAGGCCCCAAAATCCAGCTGTACCCCAAAATCCTGGAAGCCACCAGCCCCCAAAATCCACTTGCACCCCAAAATCCTGGAAGCCACCAGCCCCCAAAATCCACTTGCACCCCAAAATCCCCGGAGCCCCCAGCCCCCCAACCCCCAAAAATCAGCAGCCCCTCGAACTCCTGGGAACCACCTGCACCCAAAAATCCACCTGTACCCCAAAATCCTGGGAACCAGCTGCCCCCAAACTCCCAAAAATCAGCCCCCCCCAACCCCGGGCACCCCCAGCCCCCCAAAATCCCCCCCCCCCTTTGCATCTCTCCATGGCCAAGGCCCAGCTTTGCATCCCCTCCCCCCCCAGGGGAACCAAAAGTGGCCCAAAATAACCCCAAAATAACCCCAAAATAAGCCCAAAATTAGCCCAAAAATAACCCCAAAAATACCCCCCCGGACACAGCACCAAAACGAAACAAAACAAACCCCAAAAATCAAAACAAAACAAAAACCACCCAAAACCACCCCAAAAAAGGTAAAAAATAAAAAGGCAGCGGAGCCACACCCGGCAGCAGGAATTTGGGGGGCACCGAATTTGGGGGGGCCCGAGTGAGATCCACGTGTTCCCTCAGCCCAAAGGGGCAGGGAGGGGAATTTGGGGGCACAGGGAGGGGGAATTTGGGGGGCACAGGGCATGGGAAGGGGGGAATTTGGGGGTGCCCAAGTGAGATCCACGTGTTCCCTCAGCCCAAAGGGGCAGGGAGGGGAATTTGGGGGCACAGGGAGGGGAACTTGGGGGGCACGGGGAGGGGAATTTGGGGGGCACAGGGCATGGGAAGGGGAATTTGGGGGGCACAGGGAGGGGAATTTGGGGGCACAGGGCATGGGAAGGGGAATTTGGGGGTGCCCAAGTGAGATCCATGTGTTCCCTCAGCCCAAAGGGGCAGGGAGGGGAATTTGGGGGGCACGGGGAGAGGGGAATTTGGGACAGGGAGGGGGAATTTGGGGGGCACAGGGCATGGGAGGGGAATTTGGGGGGCACAGGGAGGGGAATTTGGGGGTGCCCAAGGGTAGCAGTAGGAGGGAGGAGGGAGGAGCTGCAGGAGGTTTCCCCGGCACAGGATTCCCAGAGAATCCTGGATTCCAGATCCTGGGAAGTGCCCCAGGCCGGGGTTGGTGACAGCAAACCCCCCAGAGGTGACACAGGACAGCCCAGAGGTGCCACCAAACACCCCAGAGGTGC